CACCACTTGCACTGTTGCACAGATTTCTAGCGTAGCTTGTCTCAGGCGTGGACAGGTGGATCGTACAAACCGATGTCAGATGCGCTGGCAGGATACTGATGCAGCTTGTTCCTGTGGCGACTCCAAACCGCATACGTGCAAGGGAATGTTCCATGATTGTTCGGTTACTGTTGGGGAAGGCACCAGTATAAGCGTGCACTAGACGGAGTCTTTCAACTTCAACACGACACTGGAAACCTATGTACAGACAACCCGTGCAGGCTTGGAATTGGTTCGTGGCGCTCTTGGTTTGGGGGCTGCGGCGTGCTGGCCGTTCTGTGGCTGGGAAGAAGTACAGGCGAGTTGTGTGGTTGCAGCCTTGTGCGGAGTAGCAGCTACAATCTTCAATTGCTTTTTCGTGCAATCGAATTGCCGCCATGTAGATATGTTCCGACCTACGAGTGGCCTCCCCGCCTCACATCCGCGCAACTCCCCGCAGGACGGTTCGAACGGATGTGACGACCTTTAACACGCGCTTCTCGGCAACAGCTGAAAGACAGACCTGCACGGCCACCGCCGCCCCAGTACCTCAGCACACGACTACCAACACCAGCCTCGTTAACCCTCGGTCCTCAACTTTCTAACGACACTGCATGAAGGAAGCTCGAGTTCATCTTGCAATTTCACAGATGTTTGGGAAGCTTTGCCAGTCATGCCTACAGGTTCTTCATCGGTCCTTCTGCAAAACGCTAGGACACCAAAGTCTCACTTCGATAGGCCTTTGCTCCTCATCTTTGATCGATGTAACCCTTATGCACAAGACAAAGATCGCTCTCGGCACAAACCCCACACCATGTCAATCAACCTTAGACGCTTTCTGCAACATCCTTGTGATGAAGTTGCTTTTTCGGTAATTACAACTCTTCAGATTTCTTCATCCAAGGATCTGCAGTTGTCAACTTGATTTGCGTTTCCATGATTCGAAAAGGGACTCCAGAAGCTAGTCTCATTCAACAGACGGTGAGCCAGGTTATAGTCTTCTGAGCTATGCCATGATGGCCAGTGATGAGAAGAAGTCGGCATCTTTCCGGAGGACCCACCTTTACTGACAGACAAAAAGAAAGTGCATCCTTGAGTTTAGAGCTTTCTTCCAGTGTTGGAGCTCTTGCAAACTGACGGTCGTGGTCGGTTTCAGCTTCTTAGTTCGAGTCCTTTCAATGCTGTTTACGCAGTCTTGCGGAGCCTTAGTCTTGCAATCCTCGCACCAGCTATGTGTGCTCCTTGAATGCTCAAGGAAGCGGAAGGTTCTGGGATGCGCCGCGAGTGTCTGGGTTGAAACCACCTTATCCGCTATCCATTTCCAGAAGAGAGATGGGAAACCTGGCGCCGAAGAAGTCACGGAAGTCGCGACAGACTGCACGAAGACGTGCAGGAAGCCTTGATAAAGGCCTGGCATTTGCCAGTTCTGTTCGCAGGTGGAATCCGAGACGAGACCCCCCCCTCTGCGGAAGCCAAAGAATCTGTGCCTGCTAACTATATAGTTATGCTTATAAGGTTGGCAGTGTTGAAACTATCGTCTCTCTCCAAAATTCCCAACAGATAACCCTGAAACTGCAAGTCTGACTTATAGCTACTGGCAGTCAGGGCACTGCAGCGTTGCGCGAAGCAGCTGCGATCCAGAGGTGCCCTACTAGCAGTAGTAGAATCAGTAGGAGACATGATCAGTCGAATGGTGGTCAGCTGCTTTGGATTCGTCGCTGAAGAGCCAGAGGGGCCCCTACTCCGAAGCATCGCTGTTGGTGGAACGATGAGCCAGAAAAGCGCCTGTGATCCCAATCCCGTGTTGAGCTTGGAATGCCGTTTTAGCGTCATCAGGTGACCCGATGGTGGTTCTGGAGATCGGCTGCGGTGCCTATGCGCCCTTTGCCCGCATCTGCACCGAGGAGGGCGCGGACAAGGCCTTCGACCTGGCTTTCGTAGCTGCCTTCCTTCAAGCATTAAAGGGCAAGCTTCGGAGCAGTGGCTTCTTGTTTGAGGCATATATCCCTGAGGCTGAACGAAGCCGTGCTTCCGTTTGCTTCTCCTTTCAAGGTCTATGATAGAAATCTAGTCCCACAAAGCCTGAGCCGTTGGCCCTCAGGTGCTCCCTCATTCCTTCATCTCTGAACTCACGGTCCCTCGTGCCTCAAATCTGCATCCGCCTCCGAACTATGAATCAAGACCCGGTTCTTGCCCGGCGTTTGGCAATTACGCGTGCTGCAAGCCGCGCAAGCTTTGCTGCTCCTTCGGGTGCGGTGCAGGTGCTCGCAATCGAGGGGAACAGCTGGGCGGCTGCAAGGGCCCAGCGCCTTTTAGGAGAAGGTGCCAAGGCTCCGGGGGGAAGGGGGAGGTTTCATTCTATTATATACTTATTCATTCATTCATTCATCCATCCATTCATTCATTATATACATGTATATATATATGTTATATTATCTAATATAATATTATTTGCTAGTGTATTACGAGTCTTGAAATGTAATAATTGCAGCAGTCAGTACCGTTACCAAGACTGTGCGCTCTTGTCAGGAGACATCGAGGTACAGGATTCAGAGGTAGGAGACGCTTGGGGTCTAAATTCCTGGGATCGAGCGGTCTTAGCTTCGGCTGGCGGCTAACGACTGTCGAGGTAAGGAGCCGGGCATGTGTGCAGCGCCATAGGTTGGATCATGTTTCCCTTGTGGTTTGCAACCGCACCGGTGGCGAGTTAAGCAACTGCTGAACCTGTAGAGGCATTTAAGGGGCCAAAGAAGCTAGTCGTGTTCATGATAGTGGTGCTGGCAGTAGTAGTCATGGGTCGGTGGTGGTAGCGGCAGCGGCGGAAGGTGTAGTGGAGGCTAGAACACTGACAACATCACTGCCACCATTGCTGCTGCTTCTGCTAGGTACTGCTTCAACAAATCGCTAAAGCTTTTCTACATTGTCAGCTACGGTATATTCCTGGCATGGGACAGCCATGACTTCCTGCAAACTCGCTCGCAGATAATTGTTCTTTATGTCACTACTCAGTCCCAACCTTTGAAGTCGACAGGTCTTCGCGGGACTCTCGAAGGAGCACCGTTGGCCATGTCCGGTTCACGTTGAATCGAGATGTCTTCTTCGCACATTCCCAGTGAAACTTCCCCATGTTCTTGCGCCAAGAAATGGGCGCTGTCACACTCTGCAGTACTGATGGAGTGAATGTATTTTCCGACTGGCCTGGGTGTCTCGAGCCCTGCCAGGACATGGTGCCTGAAAGGCTTGGTGCACTGGCCAATGCAGCACGGCAGCCGTTAATGATGCAAATGCCAACGGAACATGGTCACACAAGGAGTGGAAAGCCGGATATGACGATACCCTGGATAAGACCGCATCATAAGCGGAATATCAAATAATCAAGTACGACAGAATAAACTGCACCAAGAGTTCATGGGAGAGCACAGGATGAATGCTGCTAGTACGAAGTGTGTCGAGCCAAAAAGCGTCTGCATCACTGCTAACCAAGAACAATAAACTGTAACACCAAGAAGTAGAATCTCATCATACTCAATCATCACACTAATTACTCGCCGGCTTTCGATAGCATGGAGAAGAGTTCTACATCGGACGTCGCTCGCACGGTGCTTGCGAGGCAGACTGTTGGCAGGGGGGGGTGCCGTGAGGTTATCTGAGCTCAGGTCCTGTAGGTTCTGCAGGGATTCGAGACGGCCCTGATCTTCGCAACCGTTACAGTTCGAAGGAGCAGGGTTGCTTCAGCAGGAGCGCAAGACATGCCCGATTAGCAGATGGAAATAGCTGTAGCTCTTATTGCCATACAGAACATTCGGTGCCACGGCCGAGGTAGTTGTGATGGAAACTATCGGCGATTGGGCAGCCAACGAGTACATGGCTGCACGCCTGCCAGTGTAAGTTTCGCTTGCCACTGTCGTTGGTAGTAGGTAGGGCTGTTGTGTGAGTATGTGCCCGCATCGAAGCTTACTGCAGCTATTGCCTTGAGCCATGCAGAATAGCTGCTGGGAGCAAGCCGTCCTTGCACGACTCTTGAACAGAAACCACCTCCAACCGGAAGCCGAATCTTTTCACATCGTAGGGGCCAGCGGCCCTTCGATAGGTTCCTGGGAGTCGGAGGATGCCGGCTGGTTCGCCTGTTAGCATGAAGCTCCAATCATGCAGCACGGTTTCGGGTTTAGGGTTCGGGGGGGGGGGAGTCATAGTTCCATAAATGCGCGACGGGTTGTGCAGCGTTGCAAACAGGCAGCAGAACAAAGGACGTCCAAAATCGAGCCTGAATGTGCCACGTCCACCATGAATCAATGAATGGACTAGACGCGCACACATGACTCAATGTTCAGAAATAGCAGGTTGATGGTTGCCAGCAGCTTCACGATTTTGCCGTCATGCCTACAGTGCCATTAAACCATTGCCGCAGCAACGGTAGCTTGATCAGTACCCATATAAGAGCAATGGCGAGGTGAGCACTTTTCTGGATGCCCGGGGACGGCTCTGCGAGCCGACTTCGCAGTGGATACCCGGCCAGGCAGTGTACAAAGGTGACTATAAGGTTATTATCAGGGCGCCACTAGGGGTACTTTCAGGGTTGCAGTACTATAACGGGTTACTACTAGGTGGCTTTGGAACCCAGTGAAGTGATTTGATGACGACGGTAGGGTGTGTTTTTCGTTGGCGAAGGGCGGTTTTCGGATGTAGGAGTTGGGGGTAGTTTCGCTTTGGCCATAAGCTGCAAGACTGACGGTTCCTCTAAGGAAATTGCAATAAGGAAAAGACTCAGCCGGGAATCCTGCTAGAAGTCCGGTTGGCCCCGATACAAAGCGTTGTGAAATCCACGGAACGGAATACACAAGGCTTGTTTGTTGTCCGGAAAGGTGAAGACACGCTTCATGCCGGTGACAATTCCACCCTGGGGACAGGAAGGCAACAGACGATTGTCTAATTCGGTGTTCTATTAATCTTTGGTTTTGGCTTCTGCAGTTCTTGCGGGACCGTGTAGGTTCAACGGGGGTCTTCGATGTTGAGTCAGTGTGTGAGAGAGAGAGAGAGAGAGAGAGAGAGAGAGAGAGAGAGAGAGAGAAGGGGCCTGACTCGTGCTAGACACCAAGAGCTGTTGCTGTGTTTGTAACCAAGGGCTCGTCTGACGCGACCTTTGAGGTCGTTTCACAAGCATGTGGGAGGTCAAGGCCAGAAGAGGATATTGGCATGATCGCATTTCTGGATCGGATGACTCAGTCAGCCCTCACCGCAACTGCCGCCGTCGCAGCAGAACGAGATGGTTAGGAATCATCCCCATTCTCGCCATCTTCAGCCGTGTTTATGCCCAGACTTAATTAGCATAATTGGCATCATTGGCCACAGTGACGAATCCATTGTGCAGTATCAACAATGTGTACTTGCTGTCGTCAGCTATGATACGAACAAGACTAGTTAGCCCCCCCCAAAATGGAGCAATTACTGCTCCCTCGTCCGCATCCCCAAAATCCACTAAGCCGCACGCTTCCGTGTTCTTCGGAGGTGCAGTGCCGCCGGGCCTGTGGCTCTTGGGCAGCGACGCACGCTACGAGAGGCGATTGCTGAAGCCAGCTTTTAGGGGCCGAGTCCTGGGCAGGAGCCTGCCTGAGCCCTTTTGTTCCCGTGGTTCCGACTCCCTCCTCAGGATGGTACCCTGGGGTCATCTGTCTCCAACCTTCACACTCAGTCTTGCAGCAACCACCAGCCGTCCCAGCGACTGGAGGCTAGCCCTTTCAGAGGCGGAGACGTTGGAGGCTTATGACTTCAACGAGTGGAAGGCCGACTGCATGCTGAGTCAACCCCGTTCACTGCGTCATTCAGTCAGTGTGCATACCTACCTACCTCCTGCCTGCCTGCCTGCCTGCATGCCTGCCTACCTACCGACCTACCCACCCAGCTAGCTACCTGCGTACATACATACAAATATTCACCTTCCCAATTTATGCAGGATGTTGCTGCAGCGCAGATGTACATCTCACAGTGAGCCGATCAGGATGAGATGCTGAAGCAACATCGGAGCTGTGACTTCGAGATCCAGACTTCTGCGGATCTCCAAGGTTTCCTCCTTTGGGTGGAGGCCGCTTAGATGCCGAAGTGATGGGCGATTCAGATTTAGAGGTTAGGCATGTTTGGGACATGTTGCAGCTACTTGCAGCTACACTGGCATGTTGGCAGTGCTGGCCCGTGCTCTTGGGGACATTCCCCCGAATCTGCAAATCCTAGACCTCAAACCCCAAAACCAAACCCCACGCCCCAAACCCTGAGCTCGTTGAAATCAGGCCGGACATGCCCCAGCGCTGAGGTCTTTCCGGACCGTGCTGAAGATGCCCCACTGACGCTAGCACGAAAGGATGACATGCAGACACACAGGCATACTCACATGCCCGCTTAACTACCGACCTAACTCTACCTACCTGCCTGCCTGCCTACCTACCTACCTACCTACCTACCTACCTACCTACCTACCTACCTACCCACGCATACATACATACATACATACATACATACAGACACAGACAGACAGACAGACAGACAGACAGACAGACAGACAGACAGTCAGTCAGTCAGTCAGACAGACAGACATACATAAATACATACATACTTACATACATATACACATAAATGCCTTTACCACTGTATCAACCGATCTGTGCATGCATGTGCAGATGTCTTCGTCAGCATATAAACATACGGATCGCACACATACGTGCGGATTTTTCCCCTTTTGATAGTTGCTGGTTGGGTTGTTAGTTTTTGTTTACTTTCCCCTGCATTCAGCGGTTTTCCTACCTCAGGAGCTCTACCCCACGTACCTCTGTACACATGTATGGTTAATGCATCATACATGTTATTATTGATGGTTTATTTGCTTCTATGTGTAACATAGAGGCATGTATGCATACAATTTAACACATGTAGCCTACATGGGTCCGATACTCCGACTCGCCTGTCCCGAGACAATCAGCGGATGCTGTCCCTGCCCGAGTTGGCTTGGCACAGCTGAAGCGAGCCCCATTACACGATAACGCCCGCGGTGAAACAACATGAGCAAATACTTTTCCAGTTCTGCAAAAGTTCACATTGGCTCCCGCACCCGCTGCACAGTTGACAAGCTGGCAAGGGCCCCATGCATCTGTCTCAGTTCCGAAGGAACTACTACGTCTACTACCTACCACTACTACCACCACTACTACCACTACTAAGTTACTACTGCTACGGCACCGACCACCACCACCATCATCACGACGACGACTATGGCTGCTGCTGCTACTACTACTACTACCACTACTACTACTACTACTACTACTAATTACTACTACTACTTACTACTACTAATTACTACTACTAATTACTACTACTACTGCTGCTGCTGCTGCTACTACTACTACCACTACTACTACTACTACTACTACTACTACTAGCCACCCCCCCCACCTACCAACCACCTGGCGCCTCAATCCATCACGATCATCGATCATC